GTGCTGTGTCTTTTTATCACCAAGCAAAAGCCTTAAAATCCAATGAATTTGATGGAGAATGGGACGAGTATTTTGAGACGTTCATCGACGGTGAAAGTAATTATTGTAACGGTAGCTTTGCTTAACAAATTCAAAGAGAAATAGTAGATCGATGTGTAGGAATATATATCATTGAGTGTTAATTTAAAATGGACAAAAAATTACGAATTAGGCTGTTTTCTTGGGGTACAAGTGACGTCATACCCGCCATGTTGGTTGACCTTGACGGAAGATTTGTTCTTGGTGTCTTTTGTCATGACAACCAACATGGCGGCCACTCTTGAATGAGTAAGATGAGTAAGGGAAATTGTCTCGGAAAATAACGGGTCATACGAAATTTGTTTCATCCTTCATATGCAGAATATATAACTGGGGCTGATCGCTGGGACTTGGATTTTAGGAAATTATATTGAGACCTATCCCTCTCTCCCTCCCCCCAACATGTCCCTTACCAAACTCATGACGTTACCCGAATGAATTACATAACAGGCCAAAATCCATTCTGTTTATCTATAAAGTTTTGTTTTATATACTTTCATTGACAGTTTCATTTGGTTCTTGGTTTGACCACGTTCTTGGCTGGTGGTCTCATCGTGACGACCCCAACATTCTGATCTTGAAATACGAAGATTTGAAAAAGGTATTTGATTCATGTCTTTATTTAGGCATTACACGTACGTTGTAGTAAACACAATGTTAGATTTGGTTAAAGGTGACATTTCGTAATCCATAAATGCTCTTTGATGACGACGATGATGATGAAGATGATTACGGTTATGGCAATGATAATGATAATAGTAATGTTAATGATGTTAATGATGATGTTCGATTATGATAATGATGATAATAATGATAATAATGATGGTGACGAYGAAGATGATGATGAGGAAGAGGATGATGATGAAGATGATAAATACGGTGATGGCAATGATGATAATGATGATGAAGGTGATGATTGTGATATTAATGATGATGGTAATCATGAGGATGGTGATGTTGATGATTGTGATAATGATAATGATAATGAAGGTGATGATGGTGATATTAATGATAATGATCATGATGGTGATTTTGATGTTGATGATGGTGATATTAATGATAATGATCATGATGGTGATTTTGATGTTGATGATGGTGATAACAATAATGATGATGACGGCGATAGCTATAAGGTGATGGCGATGATGATAATGATAATAACCACGATAATGATTATGACGGTGATGAGGAGGAGGATGATGATCACGGTGATGATGAGTATTGATATAGTATTGTTTTTTCCAGGACCTTCCCTCTGCTGTAACTCAAATAGCAAAGTTCCTTGAGAAGGAATTGTCTGAACAAACCATTCAACTGATTGCAAAACAAACYACYTTTGACGCCATGTCAAAATTTAAACATTTTCACGAYGATGAAAAGCMGAATCAGTTCGAAAGGAAACCAGGATCAACGAGATTCCTACGTAAGGGTGAGGTAGGAGACTGGAAAAACTACTTCAMCGAGGAACAGAATCAACGATATGACGAGCTGTWYGAAAGGAAAATGGCTGGAAGTGGTTTAGAATTGGAATTTTCATGAAGCCATTGAAACCTCTGAATAATAATAATAATAATAATAATAATAATAATAATAAAATAATAATAATGATCATCATCATCATCATCATCATCAATGTTGATGATAATGATAAACAATTAATCCTTAATCGTACTCTGTAGGTAGCATGTTCAGATGGCAGGAAAAATACAATCGGTTTACATGAGAAAGAATTCAATTCTCGAAAGCAAAGGGATGTTATTGTTCTGCCRTCTAACCACAGGCAGTCCAAGCTGTATTATGGGTGACGGCACGCGATGGTGCAAATCCTCTATTTTATAATTAGTATGGGAAATAAGCTTGCGCACGGCCAACAACGACAGACGTTAAAAAGTAAACAAGAATGTGTTATAATTACCAAGGCTCGACGTGTTTTTTATTTACATATTCATAACAAATAATTTTAGGATGAAATTTTCCAAAAACAAATAAGAAAAAGAAAAAAATGAGGGGAAAAAAATTTCTTTCTTAATTGGAAGACGTTCAATCTTTAAAATATTTGCTCTATGTTGGTTATCCTCCAACAGCCAACTGAACACTTTATTAGCACTTTCGACACTTGTGTTACCAACGCTTTTCCGAGGTTTTATGGTTCCCTGACCCACAGTATAGTCGAATGAATGATGAAAAATTGACATATACTTTGAAACTTTTTTGTGTATTTTTATTTATATTTCCTTCTCGTATGCGACTTACATTTTCTGGAGTTACTTGTGGATCAAGTAAAACCTTCTCGTATTTCCTTATTTACGAAATTATAATATTTTGACCAAAAATATATAGTGTGGTCCAGGCCACCCATCCGCGCGTTATAGCGCATGCGCTAGACAATTTTTTCATTCTTATGTCCGAGGTTATATTAAAACTTTCCGATCCAATTCATTAATCACTAAGAATGTCAATAATAATAATACATCTCCATGTGAAGTACTTAGGGTGGTTACAGACACCCGCTAATTTTAATAGCCACAATTATCATGATTATTCATGAAGCAAACAGACGCTATGCATCACAGTTGAGCTCTTTTGGCTTCTCGTAGAATTTTATGCACAAGAGATACTTCTGGAAAGGAAAGAAAGCTACTGAAGGTAAGTTATTTCTAGAATTAATTTTAATTTTTATCGAAACTCAATACGAAATTTTGACAGCTTGATATTTTACTATGTCCACTTGGCTTCGCGTGGTGTTGTTTGCACTGAAAACGAAATTAAGCTTAAATCCAAAATGTTATAAACATTAATCTGGTATTAAAATCGACAGAAAAAATTAATTTTGTTATATTTCTTGCTAGATGCAAGGAAGATTTATATTAGTCTCAAATTCATGATTGTTCTTCTAATATTAGAACCTAATACGATAATCAATTAATCGAATTTGCATTACTAAAAGTATATTAACGATTTGCTAAGCAATTTTGCTTAAGGTATATTACTAAAACTAAGAAGTTATAGCACTCTTACTTTTTTAAATTTAATATTATAATAGATTTTGAATACAGATTCGTACACTTAAGCTCATAGTACGTTATCGCACAATTGAAGTCACACTTGAAGGATTCTGTTAAATTTTTAGTTAAAATATTTACTGAACAATCCCAATTTTTTTTTAGTTAGAAACGCCTCATTTTTCTTACCATTTAAATCTCTTAGATCTAAATCACCATCTCTAGCTGCAGGGAGAAAAATGTTTCTTCGACTTTTATCACTACAAAGACTATTTATTTAATTCAGTTAAGTTCCCACACTCATTTAAATGACAAACTGATTTGGTATTGAGATAAATTCAATGGCTATTTGTATTTGCTATTTGTATGGGAGTCAAAAAATTCGTCGATTTTCTCGGGAACTCTGTATTCTTTTCCAACCTAATAACGATATTTTTATTTAGACCAGTTAGGCTATTCATGTCAGTGATGTTATTTTGATTCAAACTTATTTCACGAGTCTGTACTCAGTAGCGAGCAAATCACTTTCGCGACACTCAGAATTTTTTTCGTGTAGTCTGAGGTCAGTGTCACGGCGGGAAATGTCACGCAATAGAATTTCTGACGACTCCCGTACGAATAATTATTCGCGATTGTTATTTGTACGAGAGTCTGCCATTTATCTTTCTTTTGATTCCTTTGTTAGTGTTTTGTCTTTTAACTCATAAACTCCAAGCTATATCTTCGTAAGGGAACTTAATTTCAAGTTTATTTGTATAATTTTGGCCAAAAATCATTCACCACACGGGGGTTAACTTTTTACATCGGTGATTCCCTTGTTATTATGGATTGCGTGTCCTGGATCTTATTAAGAATTGTGAAACACACAAACTTGTTGCTTTATTTTGATTTTTTCTTTTAATTAAAATGTAGCTGTTTTTCGCGAATTTGACAGCAACTGCTGTGAGATTTTTTAAATATTACTGGTATAGTGTCAGTGATTAATTATTTACCAATTATCTGTCATGAATAACATTTTCTACCTTGGTTAAGTTAACTAAATTTCAAGTTAACTCTTGTCGTTCTTTCTGTTTTGTTTAATAAGCTAGAAACCGTTTTACAAGAAAAAAAATCAAAATTTATAGTTCAGCTTAAAATACTGCTAAATTGTTATAAGCTATAAAACATATATCTTCCTAGATTGACGTGGATACTTATATATGTAATTTTAACAAGTTTCACAGTGTGATGACTTTATCTAGAAGTTTCATTGCTAGTTAAGTATTGTTATTTTTGAAGTATCACCTAAAGGAATTGACAGACAGACAGACAGTGACTGACTGAATAGACACTGCGTAGATATAAAATGAA